CAATATCTTGGAGCTTGTTAGAAATTCACAATCTCAGGCTCCACCTGAGACACACCTCAAGTTTCTTTCTTTCTTTCTTCCTTTTTCTTTTTTTTCTTTTTTGGTTTTTCTCCGGTACCGGGAACCGAACTCACGACCTTGCGCTTGCCAGGCAGGCGCTTTGCCGCTGAGCTAAATTTCCAGCCCCCTGGACTTTTCTTGATAGCAATCTATGACAGAAATGGTTGTGTTTATACTTATGCACACACAGACACATGAACACACAGCCATTAAGGAGAGGAATGTGTATATGCTACACCTGAAGCGTGAATACCTTTAGCTTGCTGTCCACTTTGTCATCAGGTCCCCCCTTGTCATTGAGGAATTACTGACCGCTGCTTTTCAGCCCTGGGCCTGCCTGTCCTGTCTTGTATTCCAGGGATTTGATGGGGAGAACAGGATCTTTTGCATGATGAGTGCTAAGGCTAGCTTTACTTCCTTCTGCCCAGCTGCTACCAAGCCAGGGGGATCTGCTGCCCCCTGGGGGCCATTAGTATTATTGACACTTTCTCTTAATGCTTATGGCCAATGAAAGGCACATTTCCTCCTCATCCTTAGCCCAGACCTAAGGCTAGAGGGTCTGCAGCGAGGTACGAACTTCTGACAGCTGTCACTATGGTTTTGCTCATTACCTCCTGAGCTTTTCCTTCTGTCCTCCTCATGAGACACCTGATGTTAGCCTGTGAACCCCAGATTGCATATCCCCGTCCACCCTCTGTCCCCCCGCATCCAATCCCAAAGGGCCTGACGGAGCGCAGGGCAGGGTCCTCCTCAGCATGCGTCAGGTCAGGTGAGTCCCCACCAGGCCGTCTGTCTCTACCAAGCTGCAGAACTGCAGTCCTGGGCTCCTGACCATGCCAGGGGAGGCCACCTCCATCTTACCCGTGAGATGACACCCAGCACATCCTTTCCAAAGAGTGTCCTGAAGACCAAAAGGGCTTCTCATCAAAGAGGCAGTTACCTAATACGAAAACCGCTCTTCTCCACAGCACTGAGATCTTCCAAATCGGGAAGAGGCTGGGAATTTAGTAAAGTGTTGGGGCCGGAGCACTGGGTACAAGGAAGTGCCATCCTACAGAAGCAAGGAGTCTGAGCATGTGATCGCCATTCTGTGGCACTGGATTCTCCTGTGCCCTCCTTCTGAATGGATCAGGAGAAAAAGTTACTCAGCACTGAAGCCTGCTTACCCTCTGACAGTGTCATGACGTAGTTATGTCGCCACAGGGCACAGTCCCTGTCCTGGACTCTGCTGCCTGTGTCGTACTTCTGAGTCCTCCTAGCAGCAGTGTGAGCTAGGTGCTAGTGCGACTGTCATCACCACTTCCGAAGAAGAGCAAGCACAGGGCACTTAGCCCTGTCAGCCATGGCTGCCTTAACTCCTGCACGATGCGCAGTCTGGCACCGGTCTGTACTCTTGAAACACATGCACACATGCACATGTACATGTGCATATGCGCACAGCACCATTCAAGTTCCATGAGCTCCTCAATGCTTTTTCAGTGGTGTCTCCTAAAATGCTCCTAAAATGCCTTTCAGTGGTGTCTGCATCCTAGTAACTTGTTTTCTGTATTAGCTTCTTGGACCTTTTGTGTCAAGTATTCAGAAGCAGTAAAATGCACTCACAGTTTCATGTTAGAAGTGGGACATTAAACTGTACAAACAGTCCCTTGCTTCTTGCTCGCAGTAATACCTATGCATCCTCATCAGAGGGTCTTTTCCCAAGCGGCCACTAATCTATAATACTTTACATCTCAAGGAAACTGGGTCAGTGATACATAGCCCCTTCTGTCTCTTGGAAGCTGACTTCCCTACATTCTAAAACTGCTAGCCAGGTAGTAATGTACTGAATGAGGCTTATGCTACTAGGTATCCTTGGTGTAATCCAGTGGGTCAGCCACTTCTCTAACATATCAGTGGCATTCTGTGATTTGCCCCTAGCACTCTCTTTTCTTTTTCAAGCAGGGTCTTACTGTGTAGTTGAGGTTGGCCTTGAGCTTGTGGAAATCCTCCTGCCTCAGCCTCCCAAGTGCTGGGATGACAGGCATCTGCCACTATGCCTGGCTGCACCTAGCATTCTAAGAATTTTAACTTGTGTTTGTAGGCCGAGCTCAAACCCCTTCTTTATGGGTGTCACACAATTTAAACATCTAGTACAACTGTGATGCTGCTTGCAAGAATTACTTATCCCTTTTTTCTGGAGCCCACATTGCCATTAAACTGACTTTTTCTCATTATCTCCATCTGTTAACCACAGAGCTCCTATTATCCTCCTCCTGCTCTGGAACAGGTGACAGACTAGTTACCTTTCCTGGTACCAAGAGGATACGAAGAGGCAGAAAACTGGCGCTTTGTCATGTACTTCTTCAGCCAATCCTTAGGTTAGAAACTGGAGGGAACCTCCCTGCATACTAATAGTCACACTGTGGACAGGGCCCAGGTCAGGATGCAACTTCATTTGTCCTTGAAACTACAAGAGCTGGAGGACTCGTCTTCTCAGTGAGCTCCTGGTCTGCATGGTGAACTGGGCCATAAGCAAACACAGATAAATACCAGCACACACCCGGGGTACATGAGTCCAGAGAAGGGAGTGACCTCTTCAGGCTGGACAGCCCCCTAGTAGGAGCCCAGCTGGTGGGGTACGCTGTACCATGTAAGAGTGAGACAGGAGTGATGTTGCCATCGATGGGGTCATGACGGGGAGTGGCCCCGCTGTGGAGCACAGGGATGCAGGCCTAGGCCTTCAAGCACAAGGCCTGGCATAGAACGCTATGGGCCAGAGGATTTATGTGAAATACAAGGCCTTTGTTCACAGTAGGCTTGGAAAACAATGGACAGATTAATCTGCCCTGTACCGAGAACGTGGAGAGCAGAAAAAGATAAGTTGAGAAGGGATGGGGAGCAAGGAGACCTGGGCCAAGGTACACAGCCTGCAATCCCTCGCAGGCCCTGGGAGTTGGTGAGTAGGCCAGACACCCACAGATACTTCTGGAAGGAATGGTCTGGGAATGGTCTGGGAAGAATGGCCCGAGAAGAGCTGGAAGAGAAGCAGAAGCTGGGGCACCACAGTTCAGGGCCCTACAGGACCCCAGCCCCAGGAAGCAACAGCTACAAAGAATTGAGGCACCTGGAGCAGCAGGAGCAGTGACTGACCAGAGAGAGGGACAGCTCAGCATGAGCTGGGGGACCTCAAGGACATTGGTGCCAGGGCCCCAAGCAGGGAGACCCTCGGGGGCTGGAGCTGGGCTCCAGCATGTAGTATCTGAGCAGACTCCAGGAGAGAGGGCGATGTGGGGAACCAGGAAGCGCAGTCCTTCCATCAGAGACAAACACAGGCTCTGGTTCCCACCTGTGTGTGCGTGTATGCCGCCATCGTGTCTGGACGTGGGCAGCAAACACACATTTTTACATACGTAGCTTCAATCCTAATCCACATGGCACAATGTAGTGATTGTTTTCAAACAAACTTCTTTCCTCTAAAATTCAGCACATGAATCTGAGTTAAAAAGCATATGCAAAGTGAGACTTGGTGCTTGCTATCAAACCTGACACATACACACTCTCTACTCAGGCTTGTCTCTGTGTGTATGTCCGGGGTGGCCACTGGGCTCTTTCCCTCTGCATCCCTTAGTCTTTATAACTTCTAGAGGCAAAACCTCCACAGGCAGTGTACAGCTTGAAACTTGTTCCAGTCTCCCTGCATCTTCCTGAAGGATCAGTGTGAGAAAAACTAAGAAGGGGAAAGGATCCCAGTTTAGAATTTGTTCTTCTAGAGCCTTGCTTCATGTTGAAGTTCAATTTCAAATGATGTCTCTTTCTCAAGGAGAAAGGAGAGAGGACACCATTGTGATGGCTTGCACTTGTCAAGCCCACTTCCACTGAAATTCCCTGGATCTTCAGCCCTTCTGCCTTCCACCACTAGTAGCTGAATGCCAGTCTTAGTGCCAGGAATTCACACAGGAGAGCCAAGTCTCCATGGGCCCTGCAGTGCTGGGTCTGTAGCTCACAGCTCTGCGTAGCTGGCTCTGCGGCATCTAAGGGTGCTGTGAGCAGTACAGGCCTCAGGCCTGAGCAAGAGGGCTCCTTGCAGGGCCCTGCTGCGGCTCCTCCTGGGCCAGTGCTGCTGTGCTGAGGATCTGAGACCTGGGTCTTCAGGGCCTGCAGAGGCCTCTTGCTGGATTTGTTGCCCAAGAATGGACGGCACCAGCAGGCCCAAGGGGAAGAGAGCAGCACTTGGACATGGGGGCTGGCAGCACAGTCCCTGTGTGCCCAAAGCCCCTTGAGTTGGTGGGACCAGGCTGGGCAGTGAGAAGTGAGGCAGGGCTCAGCTCATCGCACGGTTGCAGCGCAGAACCCAAGGAATTCCAAAAGCCCCAACACAGACCCAGCCTTCCAGGTCGCTGGGAGGTATAATTTGTCTAAGTGGAGGGGCAGGTGTTTTATTTAATAGTTTCCTAGCCTGACTTTTAACTTTGCAGCATGTAAGTGTATAATACACAGGCAACCCTTTGTACTGTTGTGTGGGCCCCATAGATGCAAGGAGCAGGGCGGGAGATGAGCCTCAGAGGTGGCCATGTGTCTCCTGTGCCTTCCAGTGCCTGCTTTCCCCGAGACTTTCAGCTGGATTTCTGCTTCTCTCTATTTTTGCTCTTGGTTTTGTTTGTTCTTCTTTGAGTTCATTTATTTGATTTAGATTCATGTCTCCCAATGTTCCACCTCCCTCATTTTTTATTTTTGTTTATTTTTGTTTAATCCCCATCATTCCTTTAGGCTCCCACCTCCACCAGTGCCACTATTTCCTTAGCCAATCCCGAGGTCTCCATACTAAACTACCAATCTACACTCTACCAGCCCTCAGCGGCATCCATGGCTGCAGTGGCCCAGCGGAGCATGCCCCTGCAGACGGGAACAGCTCAGATTTGTGCCCGGCCTGACCCCTTCCAGCAAGCGCTCATCGTGTGTCCCCCCGGCTTCCAAGGTAAGCTGACAGCTGCTGCTCGCCTGCATCCTGTGGGGCTATCTCGGGGGCCTGGCACCTGCCAGCTCCTGGCGTGCTCCATCCATGGAAGAAAGCCCTCTTCTCTTCCTTCAGTGAGAGGTGAGCCTGAGCCAGGGGCTCCTGTCCCGCTGTGGCCAACCTAGAAACAATAGAACTTGTGCGTGGGCACCAAGTCAATTTGTTGTTCTTGTCACCACCTGCCAGGAATGGGGTCCCTGGTCAGCTGTATAATTAAGCACTTTGTCTGTGGGCCCATTGTTATGCTGATGTCTGCTCTTGCTTTCCTCGCATGAAGTGCCCTGCTGTGATATCTAGAGAGAGGTGCCAGTCTCCCAACAGCCAACAGAGTCCCAGTTCATTGGAGAATAGAAATCTGTCTGGAGGGAACTTCCAGGGCCTCCTCAAACGATTCTCTGGCCATGACCCCAGCACTCTTCTCCTGTAGAGTGACTGTGTGCCTTGTGACAGTGCACACAGCCAGCTCAAGAATTTATTTTGGCAAGCCACGTGTGTAAGCATGTACGCCGTTCCTCGGGATTAGTCCCTGCGATTCCAGACCCAGCCTTCCTTACAGGGCACATGTAGATACGTCTCAGTGGTTAGGAGCCCTTGTCTTCCTGTTGTAATTTGTCAGTATAACTGTCCCACTTTGGCCATAGAGACTGTAATTTGATCTCCCAGCCTTTAAAAACATTCAAGGTTTTTTTTGAGGCGGGGGAGCATGGTTTTTAATTTAAAAACTAAAGGGGAAACTTCACAAAGCCTAAACAACAAAACCTGGTTGTTAGTTAGGGGCTGGGACATGACAGATGACACCACTGGTTGGGAGGGATCTCTTCATCTAGCTGTTTCCAGTCACTCACCCAATGCCTCTCTCCCTCCTGGTTGTCTGCAATAGGCTTACAGGCCTCTCCCTCCAAGCATGCTGGCTACTCAGTGCGCATGGAAAATGCCGTTCCCATTGTCACCCAAGCCCCAGGAGCACAGCCGCTACAGATCCAGCCAGGTCTGCTCGCTCAGGTAATCCTTTCCTCGGTTATTACGCACCTCGCCGTCACCCATGTTAGTGTCATTCACCAAGCAGCTCTCTCTCCAGTAACTCACTCCCTGGTAATGAGTTAGGCACTTCCAGTCATTGGAGTATATCTCTAATATTCTAAATGATCCCCAAGTGAATTACCTTCCTAAGTATCTGCTTACAATTTTAAGAAGAGATGTAGATACCAAGAGTCTAGGGAAATTACTCTCAGATCTTTGTAATGCAAATTAATCTGGGAGACCTAGGTTTTAATCTGAAATCTGCTAGTAATTCTCAGTGACCTAAGGCAAGTCAGTTAACATCTCTTTGCCTCAAATTTCTTCCTTGTGAAATAGAAATGATTTTCTGAAGCCAAAAGAGCCCTGGAGATTACCTCTCTGTTTTATAGCTGAAAAGCAGGCTCTCAGAAGCTGTGCCCTGGAACCGCCCTTCTCTCCCCATGTACGTACCTAAACGGTAGGGTGACGCCACAGAGATGAAAATGGTTGGAATTTTATCAAGAATAATATAAACTGAAGGTAACGGTGGCAATAACAGTAATGAATCCTCAGTGATACTTGAGCCCTAGTAACAAATACCTCATTATGCCAGGCACTTTGAAGTTGTTAATTTACTTAATAACCCCTGGAATGATACAGTAAGGTGTTTGTCTCCATCTGACAAACAGAAACTAAACCACAGTGATTCTCAAAGACACACAGCAGTGAGGTAACAGAACCACCCCAAACCCAGGCCGTCCAAGGCCAGCCCCTGCCTCCCATCATCCTGCTGTCCTCCTTCCGTCTCATCCTTTCTGCCGCGGGGCACAAGGGCAGTTGACCTGGATGTAGTTAGTTTAGACGCACTTTATGTTTAGTAAGGCGTGTTCCCAAAGACATTTTATTTATGATGGCTTGTTCAATAGAAGTGGTTGTGGTTTTAATCTTTGTGTAATCGCATTGCATAGATCTGTTCTTGGCTTTCCTATAGTCTGCTGGCTTCTCTAGAGTTCTGTTCATGTTAATCTTCATAACTTTAATATATGCCTTGGTATCTGGTAAGGAAAGCTTGGTTCCCATTCTTCAATGTTTCCTTGTCTCTTTTTGTCTCTTCTTTTGCATATGATTTTTCTTTTTTAATTTGAGATAGGGTATCACTAATACTTCAACTTGAGATCCTCCTGTCTCAGCCTCCCAGAGTGTGCCACCACACCTAGCTTCCATGTGAATTTGAACATCACTCTTCCATAAAAAATGTTAGTTTCAAAATAAAATGAAAATTAATTATTATTTATTGGACTTCATTGGATTTATATTTAGGAACAATTGACATGTTTTAATATCAAGTCATTTTTTAATATCAAGTCATTTTATTCATGAATATAGTATAACTACATTATTAAATTTCATAAAGTTTTTCCTTGTTTGAATAATTTCTATTTTATAACTTGTTATTAGTTTTAATAGTCATATTTTCTAATTATTGATATTTGGTTTATATGACTACAACTGAGTTTGATCTGTTGGGCTTGTTATATAGCAATCCTTCATTCAATGAACTCTTTTGCATTTGTTATGTAATTTTTTTATTTGTGGAGAATATTTGGTTTCTTGCTTTCCCATCTGTATATCATTTTTTTAATTGCTGTGATATCTCTGGGCTGACTAGGTCCTTCAAAACCATGTTAAATAATAGTGTTCATATTGGACATGTTTGACTTCTACCTAAAGTAAATTCTTCTAGCTGTTTCTTCTTGGGTATTTTATTTACTACAAATACTTGGTAGAGACACTATCATACTTAAATTTGTAATGAATATTGAATTATATCAAACATTCCTTTTGCATCTGTTGAAATGCTTATGTTATTTGTTCCCTAATCTGTTAATATAACAAGTTATATATAATGGAACAAGCTAGTGTAACAAGTTATATTAACAGACTGTGTAATGTAAACTATCCTTGTATTTATGAGATAAACTTTATTGGATCATGTTGTGTTTGGTATGATGGTGTCTTGGTTACTTTTCTCTCACTGCTGAGACAAAATACCTGATGCCCAGAATTAAGGAAGGAAAGGTTTATTTAGCTCACAGTTTATGGAGGTTTCAGTCCGTACTCAGCTGGCTCCAAGGCAGAGTGGCACATGGCAGAGGGCAACAGTTCATGGCAGAAAACAGCAAAGGCAACAAAAGCAAAAAGGGAGGAGCAGCAGCAAGCCTCTTTCCCTCCGTTATATTGCATGCAGGCTGCTCACCGCAGGGCAGGTGTAGCACTCACACCCATAGTCCCAGCATTAGACCATGAATCAATCAAAAACTCTAGAACCCCGCCCCATGACTGCATGAGGCTTTTGGGGGGCATCCAGACACAAACCATAACAGATGCATACTTTTAAGTACTGGATTCAGTTGGTAAATACTGTAGTTAGCATCTTCACATCTGTGTTCATAGGTGAGAAATGGCATATAAATTTCCCTTGAACCCTTATTTGATTTGAATACAGTTAGTCTTATAAAATATGTTGGATATTAGCGCCTCTTCAGGAAAAGCTAAGACAGGAAAGGATTCGACATGAATCTTTGTCTTTGCTCTTGCATCCAAACTGACACTGTGCAAGTGACCACTAACAGCAGCAACTGGCGGCACACAGGCTGCTTTTTTGTGGGAAGATGATCCATGGAGAGCTTCTATATTTAAAACAGGTCTCTCCCTCCTATCCCGTCAGTCCTCGTAGCTTCCTTTTGTTGCCTCGTTTGGGAGCGGGGAGTTCACAAAAGGCCAAGATTGATCACAGGAAAGAACTGCAGCTGTCCCGGGGCAAAGAGGTTTGTTCATACTATCTGAGAGCCAAAAGTCTAGACTGGTCCCCACTGCTGCTCTTCTGTGAGCCAAACAATCTATAGATTTCGTGTGTGCTTGCAGGGGTAATTATAGGCCTTTTGCTGTGTTTGCACACTTAACCTGAGTGAGCCAGGAACCATGCGGAAAGAAGTAACAAGCAGCATCTCTTCTTAGCACAGATAGACGTCTTCATTGTGCAGTGGGTGGAACCAGTAGGCTCAGCATTTCTGAATTTGTTTCAGATCTTTAATCATAGCAAGAGAGGGCTCCACCTTTCACTTACTTCAGAAAGAACCTCTAGAGTGTCGTAAATCTCCAAGTTGATTTAACCTAAATCTATAATTGGGAAAGTGAAAAAAAATGTGTGTACAGAGATTTTAATTGCTGTAGTGTTTGTAACGGACAACTGTTGGAAGCAAGTTCAATGTTCACCCCTAGGGGATTTGTTAAGTCAATAGATGAGTGCATAAAATGGAACACCATCTAGCCATTAAAAAGGACGCTGTAGACCTGTGTGTGTTGACATGCAGACTTCTAAGATATATTATTAAGTAAAAAAAAAATATCTGGCCCTATTCAGTATCACGCTGTGTCTTTTTGTTTGCTGGTTGCTTTTCCTTCTTCTCTGTGCTTTCATTTGATCAATACCAATGTTATCCTGTTCAGATGGAATTCTCTACTACTGGCTTTTAAATGATCCTTCTGAAGGACACCTATAAGCCCAGTTACAAAACTGGTATGGTGACTGTTTTGTTATAAAGCAGTCATTAAACATTCAAGCTGGATCTTTCACCTGTGGGTAAATTTCTAGGTTTCAGGCAGAAGCATTCTAAAAACTGTTTGCCTTAAATGTATCCAAAAACTCAGCATCGTGCTTTTCTTCTAAATACTTAAACTCTTCAGGAATTTCACTTGTGATGGCTTGAGTCTTTGAGTCAGTTCTTTGTGTTACTGTCTTTGCCTTTTTCCCCTCACCCTGTACCTCACAGTAGCAGCACATGTCACCTAGGAAGCAGTTCTCTTGGGCTACCCTGAGAGCATCTGCAGGATAAGAGGGGAGAGCATCATACCTTCTCCCAGCAGGGACACGGACTGATGTTCATGGATTGCCTACAAAGAGAAAAAACATAGGGAGACCTCACTATATAGCTCAGGCTACCTTTCAACTCAAGATCCTCCTGCCTCAGCCTTAAAAGTGTGGAGATTATAGGCATCTGCCACAACACCCAGCTAAGAAAACTTTTTGATATGTACCTCTATCTTTCCATGCCCCAAGCTACGGCCGGCATCTGCCACCACAGAAATTGTGAATGAGTAGGTAAAGGTGGAGAAATGGGAAGTACAGTTCTTGACGGGGAAAATATAGTGGTACCCTGGTTCACAAACTTAATTCTTTCCATGATTCTGGCCGCAAACCAAATTGGACAAGAACCAAATCAAATTTCCCCATCTCAAACCCCCTTTGTCTAGCAGAGCTAGATCAGAAATTCAGAAATGCCAGACCCTTGTAGATGTAGATTTTTCCATGGAATTTTTACATTCTTTTTTCTTTTCCTTTTTGGAGAAAAAAAAATCTAGTTATGTAGCCCAGCTTGGCCTTGAACTTATGGCAGTCCTCCTGCCTCAGCCTCCCTTTATATTCTAGCCAACGGAATCATTTGTCACTTGTATCCCTTTAAACGTTCCCTGAAGACAAACTGTTACTTTCAACTCTTCACACTGTCCAAAATATCAAAGTTCTCTGCTTGTCACTCAGAAACCTCTGCTGATAACATTTTCAGACCAGTCTTTCCCACCACTGTCTTGCTGTCTGCCCCTGTGTTGCTGGGTGTGGTCGATGATTACGGAAGACTTGATCACACCCCTTTACACACTTGCCACACAGCCTGGTCCCTAGAATGGCCTATCACATTTGTCTCATCTCCATGAAAAGAGGCAAGATGTTGACTGGGAGCATAGAATCCCATTGCCCATGTTCAGATACCAGCTCTGCCACTTATTGGCTGTGTGACATCACAACCAATTTTTTTTTTTTTTTTGCCTTTTTTTTAGACAGGGTTTCACTGTGTAATTCAGGCTGGCCATGAACTCACAGTGATCTTCCTGCCTCAGCCTCCCCAGTGCTGGAATTACAGGCATGAGCTTCCATGCCTGGCCAAGAAATTATTTTTGAAATTTAAGTTTCATTCTTTTTCAAAGAAATATAGCTACATAATTTTTTAAAAGTTAATACCACAAATATAAGAAAATATATGTGGTATGATTCAAAAATGCCAGGAGTGTTTAAATTTGAAAAAAATGTATTCCCCTAAACGACTCATTGCCATTAACCCTCCTCAGAATATTTCCACTCACTCTGAACACACTTATCTCATTGTTCTTGGCACTTTCGAGAACAGCTCTGGAACTCCTTTTTCATGAGCGTCTTCAGTTACACTGTCATGGCCCCCTCCATATCCTGAACTGATTTAAAACATTGACCTTTCATGGTCATTTTGACCTTGGGGAAGAGCCAGAATTCACGTGGTGCCAGACCGGGGTGAGCAGGTGGTAAGGACTCCGGCATGGTTTTGTTGGACAGACATTGCCCTAAACCTCATAGTTCCCTGCTCTTCCCCATCTTTCAATTCCACCACCTCAAAACAATTTTAATTTGACCACTCATCCTCCTTAACTTCCTGCTTCTAAATAGCATAGCAGACTGGTTTTCAGTGATTTTCCATGTTTAATTTTACATTTGCCTTCCTGTTATGAAAGATGAAGGCCCAGCTCCCACTCTCACGACACACACACAAGCTGTCTCACTCTCCTCTGCCTTTCTCTCCCTTTCTTCCATTCTTCTTGTATAATTTTTAATACCAACTTTGTAGTATTTACAGATGTTACAGTTTGTGTCTCGATGTCCCCTCAAATCCTCATGCAGTCATGGGCGGGCTTCTAGATTTTTGATTAATCCATGGTCCAATTCTGGAATTACAGGTGTGAGTGCTACAGCTGCCCTGGGGTGGGTAATTTACATACAGTGTAAGGGAGGGGAAGAGGCTTGCTCTTGGCTGGTCTCCCCTTTTTGCTCTTGTTGCTTTTGCTGTCTTCTGCTGCCATGAATAGTTGCTCTCTGCCATGTGCCACTCTGCCTTGGAGCCAGCCGAGTAGGAACTAAAACCTCCACAAACTATGAGTTAAATAAACCTTTCTTTCCTTAATTTTGGCCAGCAGGTATTTTTCTCAGCAACGAGAGAAAAGTAACCAAGACAACAGAGTTATCATCAGTACTATATATATGGGCAACCCGTTTGGGACCCTTCCTGTCTCTCAGGAACTATTCCATTCCCCATTCCTATCCCCCATCCCTTTTCTCCAATAAATGTTTCTACTCTTAAAAAAAATACTATATATATTACTCTTAGTTGATCTTCATAATATACTATGATTACATTTCCTTTCTTGTACAACTTTGTATTTTTGCTGGCATTAATAGGTCTTCTTTTTAAACTGGATTAGTTTTCTGTGTGTTTTTTATTATGCAGCCCCAAATCCTCCCAGAGCTATAAGAAAATGTGTGTGTTTGACATGTTATAGTCCAGATACTCAGTTTAGCATCTGTTATTTTTCTGCCTGAAAACTTTTAAGGCTTTCTCCTTGTCTACAGTGGTCTCAGATTTCAAAACTTCAGGTTTTCTTGGGGGTCTTTTCTTCCTATATTGTCCCTGGCACCCTATTTTTAAATTCTTCTTTCAGTGCTAGAGATCAAACCCAGGGTCTCAGAAATGCTAGGCAAGGGCTCCTCCACTGAGCTGTACCCCAGCCACCTGTTTTCCTTTTAATCTCAATGTTTAAAGTTTTCCTTTGACAATTTCTTCTCCATAGAGTTCTTAGAATTTGGGTATTGGTATTTCTAATATTTTTCTTCCAATTTTATTTCCCCTCTATTTTCTCTATATCTTCTATCTGTGCTACTTTCTGAGAGATGTCCTCAACTTCTTTTTTAATCTTTTGAATTGTTTTGTCATGGTTCTAATTGCTAGTTTCTTTCTTGTTCACTGAATTTAGCTATTGATATATATATTTTTCCTTTATATGATCTTGTTTAATGGAGATATATTTTTTTAACTCTGTGTGGTCATTAATTATAGATCTTTGGAAATTTTCCTCTGGTTTCTACATTGTTTTTTATTTCTTCTGAGTTTCTTTTTTGTTTATTTTAGGCTGTCATGCTGGAAGCTTCCTGTCCCAAGCCCAGCATGGCAGACCCCCTGGTTCCCAAATGTCATCTCCATAACTCTTTCCTCCTGTAGGTCTTTACAGTCGCCTTAGAATCATCCAGCCTCCTGCACTGGGGGAGGCATAAACCTGCACACCAGGGATCTAGGAATGGAAGGGTTTAATATGCAAGCTTACCCTAGAATCCTTCTGTCTGCTAACTCGCTAGGTAATCATATCTCTGGTATCCCACTTCCAAATTGTGTTAACTGGTAGACTCTGCCCTTATGAATCTGTTCGTCCATTTTAGTTGGGTTTAGGGAGAATAATAAATGTATGTGCCCAATTTGCCATGTTTCTGGGCAAGCTGTTTAAACTGTGTCTCAGTTTATTCTCCTGAGAAGTGGGAGGAAATAATAGACCCTACCTCACAGAATTGGTGTTAGGAAGTCAAAAAAATCCATTTACCATCTATCTCTGTTCTTGGCACATAATATACATCAAGAAATACTAGCTCCATTCTTAGTGGTAGCTGTAAATTTAGAAATGTGTGATGAAATATAATCTGAAATGAGCCGAGTGTATCAATTATGGAAAGAAGTCAAATACAGCCTTCTACCCTATCCTTTGAAATAAATGTTAATAGCTATTTTGAGGAAATAGAAAAAGATGATGACCTTAGCTTGCTATCAATATTGTTTAAATAACACTAGTCAAAACTAATGCTGTTCATGAGCTCTGAAATGAGTTCAGATGACTAAGCAATAGAAATCTTACTGCCAGTGGACTTGTTATTCATTGAATATTTTTAGTTGACAACTATTTTAATCAGTTAAGTTTTTCTGCTTACTGTGAATTCAGTAAATGTGAAATACAATGAACTATAGTTAATAGACTTGGTAGAATGGCTTTTTTCATTTAATCAATGGAGATTTATTAAACACTTAAGTATGATCTGTAGTCTGGGAGCTTTCTACCTATGTCAAAACAGATCAATAACCAAACAGATAATATCAAAAAGTATAAGGTTTTACTGGCTTCGTTTGCAATAAAGGATGATGGACAGGGAACATGGAGTAGATCACTAATGATTGAAGCCAAGATCTTCACACTGAGCTACATTCCCACCCTTTTTTTATTTGGAGACAGAGTCTTGCTAAGTCACTTAGTTGCCCAGGCTGGGCTTAAACTTGTGATCCTCCTGCCTCAGCCTCCCAGAATGCCAGAATTATAGGCATGAACCTCCCACACACCCAGCTAGCATCATTTTGTTTTGTTTTGTTTTTTTTCCGGTACCGGGAATCAAACTCACGACCTCACACTTGCCAGGCTCGCACTGTGCCACTGAGCTAAATCCCCAGCCCCTAACCCAGCTAGCATCATTTTTTAAAAAACTCCTTGACTTATAATCCATTTGCAGTTGTGCTTGTTCATCCATGTGAGTCAAAACACACACATTGAACATGTGCCCGGTGTGTGCAGCACTGCATTAGATGCATTACCCAATGATGGTCATCTCCAGTCAGATGGAAAGAGAACTATAACTAAGATATCCAACCCTTTGATCCTTGGCTGCCTTAACCTTAGTGGTCGTCCTTCAAGTGTGCAACTCTAGGCAGCTGTTTGGTCTAAATCACTTAGTGACTAAAGGCAAGCAAAATAATGATAGAGGGTACAAACAGTTTCAAACGGGCTGGGGATATGGCTCAGTGGTAGAGCTCTTGCCTCGTATGCACAAAGCCCTGGGTTTGATCTCCAGCACCACCCAAAAAAAAAAAAAAAACTCTCTTTAAAACATCACACTTGCACACACAGACACTCCAGTACAGTCTATTCAAGAGGACTCAATCACAAAAGTTCATTTCAGATTTCTTTGAGAAATCTTGATACATGAAGATGGAAGCACTGGCTTCCTACTGATCTCTCATTTTTGCTTTGAGGAATAAAAGTAATTGTCAGGCTAAAGATCCCAGCTGAGAATGGTGCTTCCTACTACTGGTTGTTGGATTTTGGCCACCAGATTGTTATTGATCTCAGAATTGTGTAAACTTAGATTCAAAACATAACACAAGGTGAACTCTGGGTGGTTCTGCTATTTTGCAGTGCTGGGGGTAGAATCAGGGCCTTGTACGTGCTAAGCAAGCTGTCTACCACCAAGGTACACTCACAGCACTCTGTGGATGCTTACTGATAAACAAAAGGTAAAGTGTCAAATAGTGCTAAAGAGACAGGAAGCTTCCTGAGAGCAAGGAGTCGCCTCATCTGGCCCAGTTCACTCCCTTGCACATAGCCGTGCAATAGGAGCAGTCAATAAATGATGTTCTAAAAGCTTCAAGCATTGTTCGCGAGAGCAGAGTCATAAGTCATTCTTCAACATGAATGAATCCCTTCCATACAGCTCTGTGCTCCTGTACTTCCTTGGCTTCTATTTAGTTCACTTATGTTAATGTTGTCTCTCTTTAGTTTAGTTTCTGAGGAGGTCAGAAACCAGATCTCCACTTTCACTACAGCTGCAGGCTCTAGCACAACTCTGGGCAGAGATGAAGTGCTGGATTCTGCAAATCAGTTTGTGGTAACAAATGTGATGATGACAAACATCCTCTGTCCTGTAGCAGGCCTGGCCAAGTGGTACCCAGCAGATCCTACTTCCCCCGGCATGGCAGCAGCTGACCGGAGTGGCCACGCACACGTCAGTACAGCATGCGACTGTGATTCCCGAGACCATGGCAGGCACCCAGCAGCTGGCCGACTGGAGGTGAGCAGGAGACTCGGTAGGGTGAGAGGTGCCTGGGATGGGAGGCACATGCTCCGCTGCTGTGGAGGTTGTGTGGACTGTGACCAGCCTATAAGGAGAGGTTAATTTTAAACAGTGTGCCAGGGTGGGAGAAAATCAGCTTTACTGATGTATAATCAGCTGCCATTGTCCACCGAAAATTCAGTTACTACATCATTTAATCAGCAGTGTAATTCAGTGGACTTGGTTCCAGATGATTCCTGAGTTTTCTGAGAATTAAATTCCACTCTCAGAAGACAAAGGTTTGTCACCAGTGAAAGAACACAGAAGAGAGTCCCTAAAGCCCTGAACAGTTCCAGAAAGTGTTCTCAAGATGTCTGGAGACATGGCACCCTAGAGTCTGTCTGGCCTCCCGAGGAAGGCTTCACAGGCTGAGGTTTGTTGGAAATGGTAGTCTGGCACATTTGGTGAGTGTGCCTCTTCAGTTACTGGCCCTCTTACACACCTCGTTTTCCACCGGCCGGCACGCTGTACCTCTGCTGTTTACAGAACTCCACCCATCCACCTCCCTGACTTCCATGGCCACCTGTCCTTTTCCTCAGGCCTCTCCCCAATACCTGGTGCCCCTCTCCACCGAGGCAGAACCAGATGGCCATCCCCCAAGTTGTCTCCCCATGGCCTCTTCGGCTGCCTGTCCTGCAGCACAAACACCAGGGCCAGTCACTCCCCTCCACCTTCTGACAGTCTCGCTACCACTTTGTGAGCCTTGTACCACTCCTGGTCTGACCTAAAAAGCTACTGTGAATGAAGAGCTCTCAGGGAAAGGTGGACAGGAGGGGGCAGAAGCCCCCAGGAGAGGCTCTCCGCTCTCCATCCTCCGTGTAAATCAAGCACAAGGAACCGGCTCCCACACCCAGCCCATTTACCGGAAGCACTTTCAAACCAGCTATCACTTGCTTCACTCTGACTGCTTGATCCGGCACAGGTTAACCTTCCTGAGCCTCAGTTTCTTCTTCAGTGGGGTGGGGTAACGATGCTCACCTCACAAGATTGCTCGATGATAAATTAAGATAATTTAATAAATTAAACTAAGATAAACCACAAAACACTTGGCCTGCATTTAACATGCACCATAGCAGCGCCTGACATGACAGGCAGTAAATACGCCTGTCTTCTTCCCTTCGCCCATTCACAAGGTTCCTGCTTGGCAAGGTCGCCTTTCTTCCTCCAGCTCATTAGAAACAGCAACCAACTGGAAAGAAGTCTGACCGGTTGTTTTCTTCCTCACCCATTTTTCTCCTAAAGGACCACACACGTGCCATATCCCCTTTTTTCCTTCACTTTCAGCATTTATAGCGTATTTAATTTCAGCAGTACTCATACATTTTCTCATTCGTGCGTGTTTTCTGTTTCCTCCCCCTCCTTTCTCTTTTCCATGTCTTATCTAGTAAGCGTGGACGTCTGAAGCCAACACCTCCTTCCCAGTCTCTCTCCATTTCATGTGTGAGCCAAAGAGCACCATAGTCATGGCTAATAAAAGAGATGTGCCAGTGCCAGGCCTGTTTCAAAGGAAAAAGAATGCCACGTGTCTGTAGGGAAATAACAAAATAAAGAATCCACAACATCAGTTTCTAAAGTACATGTAAATGCCTAAAAGACTCTGTCAAAATCTCCACACAAATGTTCATCTGCTTTTTTTTCCTCCTATTCATCCTTTTCCCCAATTTGCAAATATAGAATGTGATTATTTTTAAAAATTCAAATGAATTCTCCTTTGGCTTTTAATTTTATTATGTATTAAATGGGCTTTTGTGGGCAAATCTCTGAATTAATCACCACTTTCAACATTTCTGTGGGAAAACAAGGCACTGAACTTTGAGCAACCCTGACTATCAGAACTTTGAATGTAACCCATTTTCAGGATTCAGGCTGCCAGCATTTCTATCAACATGTGCCTCACTGTTATTAATTTTTATTTAATACTAAACTATACATGTCTACTCAACCTTCAGTTAATCTAATTGTCCATTCAGCAAGCGTGTAATTAACTGATCAGCTGCTACATGCCTGAGCCTTGTGCTAGCCACTGAGGGAATTCAAAAGAACATTAACGCTTCCTAACATGAGAAACATATGGCTCCCAATCTTCCAAGTTTGTTTTTCACATTAACCAGAATTTCCTCATTAATGAAATAATATTACTAAGATCCTACTTACTTCAGAGATCAGAATGAGAGAATCCATTGAAGACACTTTGTAAATTCTAAAATAAAATAAACATATTATTGTTCAGCAATCTCCCTTTCAAAGATTTTGAAGGAGGGAGTATTTATCCCCTTTCTCTAAAATTTAAACACTCTGAGCCCACACATTTGGCATTCTTCCCACTTGAAACTCCTCCATCACCAACCAGCTGGATTCCAACCCCTCCTTTAAAATGGTTTAACAGTACCAGGAAGCCCACCTGGGGAGTTTACTTGTAGGGGGGCTGATCCTGTTAGGGACCCCACAGGTAGTGAAATGTTCCTCACAGTCAGCTTTTACTTGAGAAAAAGCCTCATTTTATGAAAGAGTTCTGCTCCTGGAAAACCAATAAAGAGGCTTGCCTTTCTGGTTCCCTTTCAGAAACACGCATGCTCACGGCAGCCATTACAATCCCATCATGCAGCAGCCTGCACTTTTGACTGGTCATGTGACCCTTCCAGCAGCCCAACCCTTAAATGTGGGTGTGGCCCACGTGATGAGGCAGCAGCCAACCAGCACCACCTCCTCCCGGAAGAGTAAGCAGCACCAGTCATCTGTGAGGTAGGTGGTGAAAGCTCCTGGAGGACAGGAGCCCCAGAAGGTTGGAACGTTGAAGAAAGGCTGTAGCCTGCAGCACATCCTGTACCAGCCACATAGTTCACCCAAGGGTTTGCAGGAAGCCCTCACCCTGAGTTGGTGCAAGTGGAATCCTGCCTCTTGCCTGGCGCTGGTACCAGCCCTGCATATACACTAAGGGTAGGGGCCTGGGATCATGGCATGTGTGACACCCTGAGTGCTTTGATCCCTTTTGTTAAGGAAAAAATGATTCAGTGATACTGGCTAAAGCACAGTAAGGGAGATTTTATTCAAAACCGTGGAGACAGGGACAGGGATGCTGAGTGAATCTTGCAGTAGAGGTGAGAGATTAGGCTCAGCTCTACACAAGGCATCGCAAGTGGGATCTACAGCCAAGGAACAGTGTCTGGGTCAGAGGATGGACAAGCACTAAGAGGTCAGAGGGCTTCGGCTAACCTGACCCAACTGGATTCGTGCTGAAGGCGGCCATGGTGACCACACATGACCTGCTGGCTGAGGAGCAGTGGGGCACCTGATGAAATATCCGGGTGACCAGCTAGCAAGCATGGGGCCCTGGCTGAACTGATTTGAGTAGGGCTGCACACTGAAATTGAACTTTACAAGTATACATATGGGTCTAGGAGAAGGCTCAGAGCCTGGCTAAAGTCTGGCTGAAGAATTTTTATCTTTCTTTTCTAGAAAACAGCCTCACCTCTGAAATTTCACTTTGGAAACCACTTAACATTATAACTTTTGCAAAAATACCTGAGTTGAGTCCCTAGCACTTCTTAAAAAAAAAAAAAAATGAAAGCAAAACACCGAGAGAAATGTACTTACTTAGAAATTTGAGGTCAAAAAATGAAATTTACATAGTTCCTTGCTTAAATATAACCGATAACTTTAGTTATTCCCAGACACTAACCAGCAAGACAGTAACCTTTCCCATTCCCTTTAACTCTGGTCTCATCTCAGTGACCACATAATCAAGGCTACATGCTCTCCGGGCCCACTTAAATATCACTTTGGAAAAGGCAAACAAACAGCTCAGAACAGTGGTTTCCAGAGACCAGAGCCCCTTGGGAGAGGAGGGGGCTGCCTGGGAAGGAGCATGGTGGAACTTCTCCAGTGATGAGAAAGTTTCATATCTGGATTGTAGTTGGCATTTTTAACATTTTCCAAAACTCTTCAAAAGCGAGCCAGGTATGGTGACCCACACCTATAATACCATCACTCTGGGAGGTTGAGGTAAGAGGATCAAAAGTTCGAACCCAGCTTGGGCAACTTAGTGACTTAGTGAGATCTTGTCTCAAAATAAAAAAAATTTTAAAGAGCCTAGGATATAGCTAAGTACAAAAAGCTTCAGTTCAATCTCCAATATCACACCAAAAAAAAAAAAAAAAAAAAAATCCCCTGTTTGGGTGTATCTGACAGCTACGGGCACTTCATCTCAGGTCAGCAGCAACCCTCCAGAATGTTCCTGTTGCACAGCCTGTTGCGTTGACAACACACCCATGTCACTGTTAGACTGGGCAGCAGCAAAGGCCACTGGCTTGATCCTCACGTGCTGTCATGCCAGCCACTCAGGCAGTCACACAGAACACTGATCTGACACACAACTGAGCTTAGCAGCCTCAAGAGCCCCCTTGACCGAGCAGGGGCCCCAGGAACTCTTGGTCTCCCCACCCCTGTTAGCAAGTCCCTCCCTTCCTGTCTTCCCAGCATCCAGCTGGCTTTGTGAAGGTTCATTGCCTATGTAGTCAAGATCGGTGTAGTTACTGCACAAGTTGTGTGTTTGCCTGTATCTAAGACCGACTTTTAAAACAACCCGAGACAACAGACAAGGCGCTGCATCCAGGCCTGCTTTTCTCTGACAGTGCCAAGTGGGACACTTACTGCTGGGCAGTAAATACAGCCTCAAAATCATAACACATGAGCAGTAACAAACACAAAGGTTTATGATAAGTAGAAATGGTGCAATACTCATACCAGTAAAACTTATTACCAGCCCCTAGAAAGGCATAAACAATGTTTCTGCCACCAGCTAGGCAGAAAATTAAATAAGCGTACCTTCACTGAGTTGTTTTCATTTTACTGCCATCCCTTTACCTAGAAGGTGCTCAGGTCTCTCAGGATTTTTCCAAGCCTAAGATGCATTATACATTGGCTTTGTTTTCTCACTGCATAGATACTACCAGGATCGACAAAGGTTTGATTAGGAGAAGTTATTTTTTTCCCTAAAGTTACAAGAAACTGCATTGTCTAACTTAATAATTTTGAATTCAATCCAAACCAAATTAAAAGGCCTTTTTTAAAGCATGCCTTTTTCTCTGCACTTTCCCCAATTTCTCATTACAATTCAGATAGACTGATGCCCTGGGGTCAAAACCTAGAAAAGTCATTTTGGGTTTCTTCATTTTATACACACATACTTTCATAGCCAAGCCCTTTTCCCAGAGGAAGGAGGAGGAAAAACTGAATCTTAATGTCACCAAGGTTAGGTCCAGTAGATCCAGAAACTCTTAAGAAATAAAAGTTTTCATTTAATAAATGATAGAACAAGCATTTCCAAGGAAACCAAAGAGATAAGCGTTATGGTTTACTAAATGGTAGGTAGACCATCAGGAAGGAAACTAAAGCTTCATGTGGCAAACACCAGTTCTCTCAGTGTCCCCAAAACAACACATGAGTACCCTTATGGGGCAGGCCCAGAGAGTAAGGCCTTCATCCTAAGGATGAGAGCATCCTGATCAGTACATCTGCCCTGTCAGACCAGCGTCCTGGAAGTGGGGAACCAGGGCCCAGGTGCCATCCCTGCCTTAACAGTGACTAACTGAAAGTTCATGCAGTGGCCCCTTTCGTGATGGTGGCTGGGATCCAACTGACCTGGGCTTCAGACATTGTTTTCGTGGAGCTTTTGCAGAACTGCTGTTTCTTGATAGCTGGCTGCTTGGGTGGAGTTGACAGCCCACCTTCCTGTGTAAGCACATGTGATTTTATCATTTCAGAAATGTCTCCACCTGTGAGGTGTCATCCTCACAGGCTGTCAGCTCCCCACAGCGATCCAAACGCGTCAAAGAAAACACACCCCCCCGCTGCGCCATGGCTCACAGCAGCCCAGCCTGCAGTGCCTCGGTCACCTGCGGGTGGGGTGACATGGCCTCTAGCACCACCCGGGAGCGGCAGCGGCAGACGATTGTCATCCCCGACACCCCCAGCCCCACGGTCAGCGTCATCACCATCAGCAGCGACACGGATGAGGAGGAGGAGCAGAAACACGCCCCCACCAGGTGAGGCGGTACACTGGCAACCTGTGTGTGTTGCCGGATCCCTGTCTGAGGCCGTGGTCCCTGGACCTGAGCTGTTTACCGTTATCAAATATAGTAATCCCTCCCCGCCAGCCCCTAGAGTTTGGATCCACCATTTCTTGTATCCTAAACCTATTTCAAGAGAATGTCAACAGATTTGCCATATTGTTTAAACCAAAAAAATTTGGAATCACTTTAGTCTTGAAAAATAGTTACCGCCCTTGTACAGTTGGGGAACGTGAGACCATAAAAGTCAGGCTCACAAATCCAGTGTATTTCAACTTCTGTAAGCTCAAAAATTTCTGCCTCAGGCTATTGAATTTATTCCCAGTTGGTCGGGAGATTTCTCTAACACTGCTTTGTCTCACTCAGAATTCAGAGTAATTGTCCAATTAATCAGAAATTTCCCTGTGTCTGATTAACCCAATCTTTCAAACTGCCAGTTGGCTCTTCACCCAGAGAGCATTACTGTTTATTCCTAAGTAGTAATAATTCATTTTACTTTCTGTGTGCTTCCTGGGGAGAGGGGAGAAATATTTATTATACTTGCAAGACTATTAACCCTAGCATCAGAGCCTCTTTCTCTATGCTTTGCAGACAGATGCCAACGAAATATGCTTTCTGCTTGGGCTGCTCAGCTCAGGTGGTGCAGCCTGAGGGACTAGAGTCTTCTGCACCCCAGGGGCCTAGTAGAACCCAAAGTCCCACAATCCCACCTTGCTGGCACCTTCCCTAAGGGGACCAAGGGCCAGGGAAGGAGCCCAGCCACTCCCGAGCCCAGAGCTGCCAGTCAGTGTGCAACTGGTGCAAAGCTCAGCGTTCACAATTAACCCCAGATTATTAATTGCTGATTGGATACAATGTAGATAATTAGCAATCACAAGTCCTTTTGATTAGATAATAAATTCTTATGCTTGAAATCTTCACCAAAGGTACAGATAGACTGATTCAGACATTCTCATTAAAACTGTATTGCATGGGGCATCCCTTCTCACTTTATAATGAAGTTCAGAGGTTGTTTTTCTGTTTTGCTTTCCTTTGTTTTGTCTTTCCATAATAGGCCTAGTATGTGTCTCACTTAAATGTCTGTTCCCATTGAATGGCACAGCCTGATGTTCAGTGTATTTCAGAGAGGAACAGAGCGGAGCTTTTCTGGTCCTGCATTTGCTGGGTACCAGAGGGGACACCGGCTCGCTGGGGCCAGGCACACATTTGCAGACCAGTATTGCTTTACTCCCATGTGCAGGTTCCAGCACCGTCCTCTCTTCCTTTTTGGTTCCAGCCCCAAGCTGAGTCAATGTTCCAGCCCCCAGAGTCTCATGCCCTCTGCCCCAGGAAAACTGTGGGCTCCATGGTCCCTCCACAAGGAGAAGGGTCCACCCATCCCAGGACAAGTCCCTGGTCATGAGAAGGGCTCGGTAACCTTGCAACACTGAAGGAAAAACAAGAAGCAAAAGTGTCTTTAAAATCTAGCAACCAACTAGATTGGAATATCACTTTTGAAGCCTGAGACTGGAGTTGACACAAACTCTGATGATTGGTGCCCAGGAGAATCGAACGCTGTGTCTGAGGACAAGGGCAACGAGAGCCATCTCTCCTCCCGTGAGTCAGCAGACAGGGCTGAGAGCGGATGCAAAGCTGAGCACGTGCCTGCTCTCAGCAGCCCAAAGCCCTCAGAGAAGCGGAACCGGAATGTTGGCAGCTTGTGAGGACGTGACCTTAGTGTAAATGACTCAGGGCGGGAGGGCAGATCACAGCCCGTGGGCAGGTGACATGCAAGGGACACCCACAGAGCACAGCACTGAGCTGCTCAACCCGCTAGCATCGTGCAGTTCAAAGCGTGTGAGCAAGGCGGGTAAAGTGTACCGGAGACGTCTGCCTGATGGCAAGCTGCAGACCGAGATCAGAGAGTGACGGGAAGGGGCCCAGCCACCCAGCATCGCAACGGGCAGCTCCCAGATGTGACAGTGATGTTTTCTAAAGAGACCAGTGGCAGCTGCCTTAGAAGATGCTTTAGGACCCAAAAAGGTAGGAAAATATTTTTGTGTCTGAGAGAGACAAAACAGAAGCCAGCGGCCGTCTTACAGAGAAACCACTTGTAATTGTGATCACATTATTGTGACTATATTTAGGAATGAGAAAAGAAAGTGGGAAATAAGATTACCTGTTCTTAGAAATCAGAATTATCATAAAATTGAGCATAGTAAATATTTATTGGCCCTACCAGTGTAAGATACTGTGCTGGGAAAGGAAGTTGTTACATAAATAAGGGAGACGGTCTCCGTCGCCAGAAGGTACGAGGTAATAACCGTAGTAAGACAGACAAATCACTGTGACGCACGGCAGAGCACCAGAGCTACACCCCCAGGCCGAAAGCGGACCTTCTAAGGCTAGCGGTATAAGCACATGTGGACAAACAGCAGAGGAGGTGAGATTGCAGATCAAGCGAGGAGATTGATGGTCCACAGCTTCAGAGGTTGGGGGACAGAAAGTGTCACCTTATCCAGGAGAAGCAGGTCCCACAGATTAAAGGATCTCAGGGCAGAAAGGGGGCTGATGGGTTTCCTCCTCCATGAGGAAGGTGGGCTGAGGGGCTCAAGGGAAAGCCTCAGTCCTGGGAAACAAAGGTGTACCCCTAAGTGTAACCAAAGGGAGCCGTGGACCGCTATCCATCTGGACAGCTTCCCTTGCCCTTCTGGTTCAGCTGCACCATGGAGACCTTCCTTCCTTAATCACAACTGTTCTTATCTCCTGCCTCATTTCTCCTGTGCTGCGAGCATCTTGATTCTGACCTCCTGTGTCCCCCACCTCACATCCCGTTTGCTGCTTATCCCAGTCCTGGCATTTCCAGTTCCCAGTCCTAGTTCTGGAACTTTGGCCAAAAGGCTGGTTAATCTCCTGTGGCTCAACCCCAGCACAGCAGCTGGAAAGTCCAAGGCCAGTGGCACTCACAAGGGCAACAGCACCTCCACTACCTGTTGCAGTTTGGGGGATATTGCAAGGGGAACAATATAATACAGGACACATATTTTATAAGATTATTTATATAGTCGCCCAAGAATCATAAGAGAGTGCAGGAACTCTGTCCACAAAGAACTAAAGAATCCAGCGGAGGGCCTGTATCCCGTGATAATGTCCTGCATGAGTTCAGCCGAAGACCTAGAGCCCATAACAATGCCTCCCACAAATCCAACTGGAGGCCCAGAGCCCACAACAATGTCTCATGCGAGTCTGTTCACGGATCTGTGCTGGGAAGGCCTCTGGGTCAATGTGTGGAAGCTAGAAAGTCTGTGCCAGTGGGATGAAGGAGCTGTGCTAGCAGGCTGAGGGATCAGCTGGGGATATAGCTCAGGGGCACAGTGCCTCCCTGGCAAGTGCAACATCCTGAGTTCAATTCCTGGTACAAAACAAAAAAACCAAAACACCACAGGCTAAGGAATCTACACTAGAGCCAGGAAGCAATGCTCAGAATAAGAATCAAAGCTCCCCCAAAAAGTACCACAGCCATCCTCAGCAACAGTGAGGTCCCAGGCTCCTCCAGTGATGAAGATAGCTGAGTTCCCATCAGGAAAGCCAACACATCAAGCTTCTCCAGGAGACTGAGCTGTGCACTATCTTCCCCTCTGGAGCCAAGAAGCAATGCTCAGCATGAGGACCAGAGCTCCCCCAAAGTGAATGGAAGCCATTGTCAGTGACAAGGTCCCGAGCTCCGTGGAGGAGGAAAACAGCCATGTTCATCAGGAAAGCCAGCATGACAAGCTCCTCAAAGAAAACCAACAGCTCCTTACAGCTTCTCTCTGCTTCGAACAGGCTCCCAACAGCTTCTACCAGCTCCCAACAGCCTAACTGCTTCCCCAGCTCTGCCTCGTATGCTGCTGGCAGCAATCCTCAGGTGGACCTCCCGCACCCAGCACCACGCTTATTAAATTCACCTGAGTGTTACAAGATGCCCACAGTTGTCAGTCTACCACACCACCAGTGTGAGTCTTAACACCAGCTTGAGACAAATGATGGAAAACCCACTAATCTCCAAGACTAGAGGACATGGATTAGAATTATTAAAAGAATGTGAAGGTGAAGTCATTATTCCTGACCCTATTATATGGCTCCCATCGCTGCCGGAGCAGAGGAGTGGTCACAGCTCCTGCTTATAAAGAGAATCCCAGAGCCCATAGGAGGGAGACCAAGACAGGAGGAACTGAAAAGGGGAAATCCCGGCAAACAGTCACCAAGCAGAGGCTGCCGTTTCTGTTGCCATTTGATAGAAGCAGACACTGAGACTAGGCCAAGAAAGTGGCTCCCCCAAGGACCTGAGTAGCAGAGTTAGAGTTCGGGTGTCATACCCTTGGAGAAATGACAGACATAACACTGGCAAAAACAGCTGCTTTCTCTTTAGTCATTGAGACCTATAGCCCACCTGTGGTCCCAGGTCCCGGGAGTCTGAGGCAAGAGAGCAAGCCTCATCTCAAAAAAAATCCAAAGTAATAAATTGTGTTCTGTCCCCTCCTGAAAGCACTGCTGTGCCTGGGTGTTACTGATACGACAGGGAGCAGAGTCGGGGCTCCTGGGAGTCCGGGGTGCTGTGCGTGAGCCTTGTGTGGATCCGGGGCACATGGCGTCAGAGCTTTCGATTCTTAGCAGAGCTTTTAGGTGGGCAAGCACAGAAGAGCCAGTGGGCACCTTTCTTTCGGGGAGTCACTGTTGAGCATGCCTAGAGAATTGGCCTAAGGATAGAAAAAAATAGCCCTATTCTCCATGTCCTAGGTTGAAGCAGTAGAAACAGTCTTATTTTAAGTGTTTATAGGCAGCTTTGACTCAAGAAACATTGGGCTATCCACACATACTGAATAAGCCCTCTCTTCCTTGCATTCTCCCAGACACGCACTACACGTATGTGTTACTCAGCAGACCCTCATGCCAGCCTGGCCTGTGCCAGAACTGTCTCGTGAAAGCCGTGACTATAGCTACCGGGCAGGAAAAGC